ACTCGGCTATGCTTGTCATCACGAGCTGGAGCTCCACGGGCTCCTGGGCTGACAGAGACCGTTCCAGCAGTGGGTGATGCCCTTCCACCAACACTTACCCTCACAACACAGAGCAAGCCTGTCCCGCTCTCCACAGCCCTGGGGCAGCTGGGTCAGGAACTTAAGCAGGAAAATACCCATATACAGACTAGTGAGAAAAAAGGAAGCAGGAGAGCAGCTCTTGCGTCCCTGAAGTACAGCTCTGCTCACGCTGCACCTTGGAGTCCAGCACATGGAAATGTTTTTTCCCCTGGAGCTACTGAGTACGCCGTCCACAAATCCACACTACTCACACCGCGAGCCAGGGAGCATCTCACACTGATGTAGCTCTTTTTGCTGAGGTCCTCTCAGCACTCCATAGAAATTAACCCTTGCAACTTAAGTTTTATTACATCACTTCATGAGAAGTAAAACCACTGGATTAAAAACCCCAAAACACCTTCCATAATCCTTAGGGAAATTAACGGGAGATCTGGGAGTAAAATCCAGGAGCTCTGATACTGTTCTAAAGGAAAGACTGCATTGTAGCAAATCTGATAACTGCCCTTCTGTACTACAGTTCTCTCACTGCCCATACTTCTGTTGATTCATTTGAAAAGCCATCACTTCTTTTGTCTGTAACCAGGTTAGACTTAAACGTGACTGAAAAAACTTCTCCAATTTAAAACTAGTTATCTATTTAAAAAAAAAAAAACCAAAACCAAAAACATAAAGACATCTGATGCAATGGCCTGACTCTTTAAAACTAATCCTGCAAAAAGATGCAAACATGTAAATCAAATTCATTTTCCAGGGTTTTGACTAGCTACAAATTTAAAATGCAGCATAATCTCAAAGTTGCACAGACTCCAGGGTGAGTGAGAGGTACTAATACACAATGAGCTCCAGGTAATGAAAAAACACAGGACAAATTTCCACAGAAAAAAAAATAAAATACACTGAAATGAAAAAATGCCCATTGGCTTTCCCATACCTTCTATCAAACCCCTAGCGAAGAGCAGGCACTTCCATGGAACATCTGACAACTCTTGTGCATATACGTGACATCTGCAAGAAGATTTTTGTGCAATTGTTCATTCATTTACTTTCAAGGCACTCAGCTGTTACGGGTACAGCTCCTGAGACAGGGAGCCAAACGGCTTCAGCTTGCCATCCGCCTTTCTTAAAGATGTTGACAGAAAAGCCAGCTTGGAAACATTATGAAAGAAATACTATTGTTTGGCTATGGTGACTGCTGTCCATTTTGGCCCTAGAGCAGCTGCTGCAAGGATTAAAAAAACAAGATGACTTGGATGAATGATAATCTGGCAAAGTGACCAAAAGCATCTTGCCCCCTGTGGAACTGCAAGTCAATGTGTCCACAGGGAAACACGACCTGGGTGCTGGAGGTGTTGCACTGATATCTTTATCGGGCATAACACTGGTGGTAAAGAAGAAAAATCAATAAGAAATGTCTTTAAAGTTTGACACAGACAGGATTGTCCTCTGCAGCAAGCGCTCTCAGCAGTGTATAAGCCAGGGCACCTGTGTAACTGAAACACCTTTGCAAGGCTTACAAGAAACTACACTCATTTTGACCAACACCAAAAATAATGCGGTATCAAGGAATATGAAATATTCATGAGGTTTGATCTAACACACACATTATATCTTGTGTACAGTATCATATGCTTTAATGCTGCCTTTGCAACCTTCTAATTCCCACGCACAGCGTGGTGGGTTGCACAAAGAAGCCTGGTCTTATTAGTTCACATTGAAACCAAGGGAACTTCCATGGGTAGAGTTTACATGGATCACAGAGGAAAACACCTGATTAAGTATAGTTGTCTGTATTTCTACTTCTGTGCCCAGGTGAGAGCTGTGTGTGCACACATGCAGTTACACTCACCAACAAATAACAAGTGGGAGAGATGCTGAATGTCCATAAATCAGCTCTGCAAAGCGCAGTGGGAGTTCACATGGAAGGCTTAACGAGCTCTTTCTCAGTGTTTCTCTTATATATGCACATACATGTAAAACAGAGGGAGGATGCTTATCAGAGCCCCCATTGTATTCCTGGAGAAATCCTGTTCTTTGGAGTTGCCCATTTCAGGAGAGTCTGTGGGGCCAGGTCTCTCTAAGCAGCAATAAACCTTATTGAGACCAGACACCTTCATCGGTGGACATGTAGCATTTCAAAACAACCCCCAAACAGCCCCCCTCTCCCCAGCTTGCTGCTGGCCCTGCCCGGAGCCGCAGGGGCAGCCGGTGTCCCCACTGCAGGCGGGACACGGCCGCGCCGGGCTGCGCCCCTGTCCGAAAAAACCGCGCCCGGCTGCGAGCACCAGCGCGGAGTCTGCTGGCCGGGGCGTGCTGATTTTAAACAGCCCGACAGTAACAAGCCGTGCAAGGCAGCTAAGGAGAAGCAAGTCCACAGTTGTGGACTTTTGCCCTGCGGGCATGACCCAAGCCTGTTTCCTCCGATACCTGTGAAACAACAACATTGAGCTTTCCCAGGGCTAATCCAGCTCCAACCAAACAACGGTAGCTTTAGCGTAAAATTAAAATATATGCAAACAACATTAGCACAGAATTAAAATACATACTCAACCAGATGGTGCTGAAATTTCTCCTTGGGGGGAGAGAGAGGGAGCAGGGATGGGCAGAGTTAGGGACAGGGTTCCAAGGTGTTGATGCTGATGTTCCAAATTTACATGAGAAGAGATGCTAGTGTTTCCGCTGCTGCCTTAGCTAGTTAGGGGGCAGTTTGCATTGCCGGCGGTTTGCTGGGATCAGGCTCCGAGTGGATCGCAGTTAGCAGGAGACCAGATTCTGTTGAAAGCGCAAGATGAATAGAGCATCAATAATTACGTGTGACTCTGCCTAGCAAGGCAAACTGCTGTGCTGTAGTCACTTCTGCAGTTATTATAGAGCAAGCATTCCCTGCTCTTGCAAGTGGCAGCAGTAACAATCTAAGACAAGAAATCGGGAAAGAAAGTTGGATGCTGGAACACCACAACCTTTTCCTTAGCACACAGGAAAGCTGAGCAGCAACTGTCCACCTTTTTAAAAATAAAAAAAAAAAAAAAAAAAAGTACGTGCTACTCTGCTGAGCACTGTCTGCCTTACAGAAAGCAGTGATTTCCTAAAATTGCCGATAACCACTTTGTAAGACAAGAGCACCGGGACAGCGCGGCCGCGCTCCCGAGCAGCCGCCCCGGCTGCTCCGCGCCCGGCGAGGCTAAAGCGCAGCGGAGGCAGCGCGGAGCCCCGCGCCCCCTGCGCGGGGGGGGGGGGGGGGGGGGCTGCGCTCGGCCCAGGGACGCGTTCGTTCGCTGCCAACCGCCCCGGCCCCCCCGGCCCCCCCCTCCCTCACCCGGCCCCCGGCGCGGGCGAGGCGAGCGGCACACCGGCAGCCACTCCGGGGGCGAGTGCCAGCCCCCGCGTGGCGAGCGCGGCCCGGCGCTGCCGGGGGACGAGCCACGGCCCCACGGCGAGCACAAAAGCGGCGCTGGGAGCCGAGCTCCCGCGGCTCCTCTGCCCGGGGTTGCGAGGGTTCCACCTCGGTGCAGACCTGACCCCTCTGATACTGGTAATGCGCTTAACTCCCTTTCCTTACCCACACTTCCTACTTGGCATATTCTACTATGGGCTTTGTGCGTTGTTAAATAACTATTTGTGCATCTGCTTTTCTTTACTGTACCAACATCACAGTCCTACCTTCCTGTGCTTTACTCCTGATGTAGTAGTATGACTCATACTTTCACTTTAGTGAGAAACAACCACCACAAAAAAAAATCATAAATAAAAAAAAATAAAGTCTCCCTCCAGTAATTGCTATTTAATCCTTGACCAAGAAAACTAACAAGTTATTTTAAGAGAGGCAAACCTCTGGGGCATTTGAATTTTAGAACGGCTGAGCATTGCAGAAAGCAGATATATAAAGAGTATTTTATTTTTGCTGCTCAACAGCATGAAAGAGCTAATGCAGCAGGGCTGCCAGCGCCTTATACAATCTGACAAACTGAACAACCCAAGGGTGCTCATCCTCCCCAGCACTCACACCACATCCCATCCATTATGAGAACACAATGTGAAAACTGACCCTTCCCTTCCAAGTATCAATATAAATACTGTTTGCCAGCCAGGTTAGTTCACAATGAAGAGGCTACTGAAATCACTCCTGGTATAGAAAAGCATGCAATGCAAACAAGTTTGTTTTCTTAAAAAAAAAAAAAAAAAAAAAGAAGAAGAAAACAAAAAAGAACAAAACAAAAACCACCCAAACCCCTCTTTTGTTAGTTTCTGATTTTGTTTCTTCTTCCCCTAAAGTCTGACTATCACACAGAAATTCTTAAGTAAAGGCTGCAAAGTTACAGCATTACCAAACATTAAACACAGTGGTACACGTGTGAAACACACAAAAGCATAGCTAAGGAAAGATTTTCAGAGCTGAAAATTAGTTTAAACACTTTCTTGTTACATTGACTCAAAGCCTTAAATCATCATGCTCCTTTTTTACTGGAGCGTATCATCTAAGCTACTGCATATACTCAGCTATTTAGAAATTAGTAAATATTTAGTAAATACAGCAAAACTTTTGGAATTCAGGATCTCTATAAAAGCCCTACAATTCTGTGCTTTTCCATCAAAAAGTCTCATTACAAAAAAGGAAGCTAAGTCTCTAACAAAAGCTGACAAAACATACAATGCACACTGAATCCTTTAAGTGAGATTTCTATTATGCTCTGCATACCAAGAAAAGTTATTAACACACTAAACTGCAGCATTTGCTAGCTTACTTGTATCACAAAGTGAATAATTTCTTTACATACTTACAAGCATCATACATAGTATTTAATGAAATAACTGCTCAAAGTTACTTTATTTTAAAATCTCAAAAACCAGTTTACTATAATTTTGAATGAGAACTTAATAGTTTTGTATTAATTGATGTAGAATAACTACATTTTAAGAGACATTGAGAATGTGATAATTTATAACATTATCTACTGCAAATGCGTTGTTGCTTAGACAAGTATTATACACACCTCCCCCAAAGGCACAAAATACAACAAAATCAAACCACAGCGAAGTCAGGAATTTTCATGTATAAATTTTCAAGTGTAAGTTACATTTGATATGTTAAAAATTTCTATGTATATATATAAAAATAACTATTATGAATTCCTATACAGGATGCAGTGCTACCACTAGAAAATCCCTTTTAAGCCTGCTGTTTTCACAGCATATCATTTGTACCAAGAATCGAGTAGGGAAACTAGTGCCAGACGTTCAAGAACATTGGTAGGTTCTCTGCCTAACAGAAAGACAGAACTTGGTGCTTTATCTACCAGATTTTGACTATTTCATCAGTGCGAGAACTCTGTATAGGCACATGTTTCAAAAGTTCTCCCAACACACAAAATACTGCAGGAATCAAAGGACCTGGAAAGGCAAACACAATGCTCACATGTGCCTCTTCTTGACATTTGCTGAAAGAGAAGAGGTTTAAAGTAGAGATGCAAGCTGATTCTTCTAGAGAATGCAGTAACTAAGTTTTCAGCCTTTCTTGGCATAACCACAAAATATTAGGGCATGAAACCATGAAAGGGAAAACTGGTGACATCAGAAAACCCAGAAGTGTGGTTTGAGTGGAAAGAAGGAATCTTCTTAGCTACACTGGTGCACACTTATTACTTCCACGATAAGCGGGAAGAAAGTTGTTTAGAATGTTTACGCTCACACTGCAGACTGCGAAAAGTTACATTAACATCAGTAAAATATCATAGCACCACAAACAAAGCTGCAACACTCCACCGGTTCTGACGCTCGGGGTTTGGCCACTGATAGGTGTGCAGGCAGAATGCAAGGGCACAAGGGCAACGAAGAAGTTCCACCGAAGTGCAGGTAACGGGAAGGGCCCACGCCGCCGAGCCCCACTCGTGCCAAGCGCACAGCTACCGGGGAACGACGGGGCGTCCGCGGCCCTCGGCGCCCCGGGAGCGGCGCACGCGGGTCCCGCCCGCCGCCGGGGGCCGCCGGGAGCGCTCGGCGGGGCCCCGGGCGCGGCCCCGTCACCGGGCTCCTCCGGCCCGGCCCGCTCCCGCCTGGGCGCCGCGGCCGCAAAGATGACACGAGACCGGTTCCTGGGTAAATGGTTTATGTAAGTAATAAAATATTTACTATAACATAAATAGAAACGTACCCTCGCAGTCTACATTGGTTTTGCAATAAAGATACAAACAAAAACCGAAACCCAAGGGGATGGACCGGACCGAACCCACTGACGGGAGGGAGAGAGCTCCGCGCACGGTTAGAAAATAAATAGAAACGGGCCGGGAAATGATTTCGAAGCGTCCTCCGGGCGAGCCCGGGCCGGGCCGGGCCGGGGGCTCCGCCGCCCCGGCGGCCACGCGAGGAAGGGAATAAATTAGAGATCGCAAACCTTTGGCTACTGCTGCTGCGGCCGCGAGCGGCTCCGGCGCGCAGGGCGCCCGTGGCGGGCGAATAAATACAGCGCGGGCGCGGAGCGGGCGCGGCCGGGCCAGTCTGAGGAATAAATTAAAGCGCGTCTCCCGCCGCCCGCGCCCGCTTCGCCGCCGTCGGGGCCGCGGCGGCGGGGCCGGGCAGTCACTGCACGGCGCCGGGCAGCGCGTGGTGCAGCGGCGACGTGTCCGCCTGTGCGTAAACGTCCTCCATGGGCGGGTGCGGGACCCCGGCCGGCGTCATGCGCTTCTCCTTCTGCCGTCGGTTGCAGAACCAGACCCGCACCACCTCCTTCTCCAGCTGCAGGGAGTCCGCCAGGGAGGTGATCTCGTGTGCCGAGGGCTTGGGGCACTTGAGGAAGTGGTTCTCCAGGGCGCCCTTGACGCCCACCTCGATGGAGGTGCGCTTCTTGCGCTTCCGGCCCTGCGCCGCGATCTTATCCAGGTTGGTGGGGCTGCCCGTGCTGGAGTCCGTCTCCTCCAGCCACTTGTTGAGCAGCGGCTTCAGCTTGCACATGTTCTTGAAGCTCAGCTGCAGCGCCTCGAACCGGCAGATGGTCGTCTGCGAGAAGACGTTCCCGTAGAGGGTGCCCAGCGCCAGCCCCACGTCGGCCTGCGTGAAGCCCAGCTTGATCCGCCGCTGCTTGAACTGCTTGGCGAACTGCTCCAGGTCGTCGGAGCTGGGCGCGTCCTCGTCCGACGGCTCGGGCGGCCCCAGCGGCGGCGGCGAGGCCGCCAGCTCGTGGGCGCCCGCCTCCTCGGCGCCCAGCGGGTCGCGCAGCCCGTGGTGCAGCGCGGGCGCCGGCGGGCCCAGCATCCCGTTGAGCCCCGCGTAGGGCTGCGCGTAGAGCAGCGGCTGCCCCGACGGCGGCGACATGGGCGGCAAGTGATGCGCGCCGCCCTGCGCCCAGCCGCCCGCCGCGCCGCCCGCCGCCGGCGGCTGCGGCACCAGGTGCGGGCGGTGATGGAAGGCGGCGGCCGGCAGCTCCTCGCGGGGCCCCGGCGGGCCGCCCTTGGCGTGCTCGGCGGGCGGGAGGTGCGCGCCGCCGCCGCCGCCGCCGCCGCTGCCCCAGTCCGTGCCGGCGCTGGGGAGCCACTGGTGGTGCGCCAGCCCGACGGCGTGCCCGGCGGCGGGGGCCAGCCCCTGCAGGTACTCGTGGTGCATCATCTTCTGCACCTCGCGGTACGTGGTGCCCTGGTGCAGCCGGTCCCCGTCGGGGTGCAGCAGCGCGGCGCTGCGCGGCAGGTACTGCGCGGCGGCGGCCATGGCCGTCTGCTCCGCGCCGCGCCGCGCCGCGCTTTAGAGCCGCGCGCCGGGGCGCCGGGCCGCCGCGCGCCGGCCCCGCCCCCGCGCCCCATTGGCCCGCCCGCTGCCGGCGCCGGCCCGCGCCTCTCCGCCATAGGGCGCCGCCGGCGCCGGGCGCCGCCCCGTGCTCCCCGTCGCCATTGGCCGGCGGCGGGCGGCCGCTGCCGCTGGATTGGCTGGCGGAGGCGCGCGGCGGGGGAGCCCGCGTGCGCCCGCCGGCGGGGCGGCCGCCGATTGGAGGAGCGCGGCTCATTCATGCCGAGCTGCGGTCGGCCACATGGGCACAGCCCGGCACGGCCCGGCCCGGCCCAGCCCGGCACGGCCCGGTCCTATACGGCACTGCCCGGCCCGGCCCGGTACGGCCCGGAACGGCACAGCCCGGCACGGCCCGGTCCTGTACAGCACTGCACTGCCCGGCCCGGCACTGCCCGGCCCGGCCCGGCCCGGTATGGTCCGGCACGGCCACATGGGCGCAGCCCGGCACGGCCCGGTCCTGTACAGCACTGCACTGCCCGGCACGGCCCGGCCCGGTATGGCCCGGCACGGCACGGCACAGCCCGGCACGGCCCGGTCCTGTACAGCACTGCACTGCCCGGTACGGCACTGCCCGGCCCGGCCCGGCACGGCACGGCCCAGCCCGGCCCGGCCCGGTCGCCCCGGCTCACACACTCGCAGCGCACCGGGCAGGTCTCTGCCCCTTCCGCCCCTTGTTTTTGGCAGGGCGGGAGCTCCCGCTCCCGCGGCGGCGGTGCGGGGGGGTGTCCGTCTGAGGCTGCTCGGCAGCCAAGCACCACGCAGCCACTCTGTCTCCCTTCTCTTCCCGCAGTAAGGAGGGACGGACGCGGACAGACGTCCCAGCCAGGCAGCCCCGGGCTCATCGCGAGCTCCTCGGGCGGCAGCGGTCCTGACCGGCCTGCCCGGTAAAACTCGGGCCCTGGACTCTGGGAAGGTGGGAGCTCCTTCCTAAATCACCCTGTAGGGTAAAGCACCGAGGGCCAAGAAACGAGGATCTGGCAACATTTGGGCATCATGGGAAACGTGGGCCTTGGAAGCAGCCTCAGAGGCAAGTCTCTGGGCTGTTTTGAGGGTTGGCACAGGATAAAGGAAAAAGGGGAGGAGTTTGTGGGAAAAGACAATGACAACAAGCAACAGACGTGACTGGCAGTGCTGGGAGAGGGGCAAGGGACACCTTAATTAGCCCAGCTCCAGACTTCATTTGGAGCTCGAGGCCCAAAGTGAATCAGGATGGGCACCAGGAACATTAATCACTTCTGAAAATTAATCTTCGCCTCTGTGCTACCATTTTACAAATGGGAGACAGCGACAGTGACCTTTGCCAAGGGCTTGGGTGAACAATGAACCGTCGGATCAATATGTGTACGAGTGTAACATGTCAATGGCTGCACACAGATGCCCCGCTCGCTCCCAGTAGAGAGGAGGTGCCTGGGCAGGTGGCTCTCCGCTGTTAAGGACATTCACTGCTGTCCCCTGAAAGGCTTTTCCCGGGAAGGTGTGCCACATCCCTTCCCTCTGCGTTGAAGGCACTTTGCCATTTCAGTGCACCAAAGCACTGATTCGGACTTGGGTGACTCCAGCCCTATGTGCTGGGACTATGGAGCCAGCAAACAACAGCCAGTGTTGGCATCCGGGCTCAAGGGGACCGAGCAGGGCTGCTGCACCTTACATCCGCGAGTTGGCAGCGCAGTGCACTGCCCAGTGTGAACCCCTCCTTGCACTGCCCACCTCGTGCCAGCGTGACGATGGCCCTGCAGGCTGTGGGGACGAGCCCCTTGTGCCATGGGGTGGCAGGGCGAAGGCACTGCCCGTACCCACTGAGGTGCCTGCCCTGTGATCACTCCAGCTTGGCGCACACTGGATCCCGCTCCTGGGTCTCCTGGCCCCTGGAGCCACTGGTTGGGTAGGATCATACCAGGCTGGAAAGGTCCATCTCCTCCTCTGGGCTTGCAGCAGGCGGGTGACAACACCCAACCCAGCAGAACCATCTCCTGCCCTTTAACAGCCGAGGGCTAAACTGTCAGCAGCAGGCTCACTGCAAGGGCTCAAGCATCACGTCAGGGTACTGGGAAGATGCTGGACCTTTTTTCGCTGAATCACAGAATGAGCAGCTACAGGAGTGACATACCTAGCTGCTGGCAGGCTCAATTTTGCACTGTCCTTGCCAAAACTGACAAGTTTGGGATTGAACATGTGAATTTTTGGCTGTGGAATGATGTGTAAGTGGTTCCTTTCACTGAATCCAGTATCTCTTTTCAGGTATACAGCCCTAGGAGGAGGCTGGACGTTTTGGGAGAGATGGCTTTCATAAAATCAGGGAGCATATTTCATTAGGAGAATAATCATAGAATCATAGAATGGTTTGGGTTGGAAGGAACCTGAAAGATCATACAGTTCCAACCCCCCCTGTCATGGCAGGGACCCCTTTCCCCAACCCAGGGTCCTCCCAGCCCCGTCCAACCTGGCCTTGAACCCTTCCAGGGAGGGGGCAGCCACAGCTGCTCTGGGCACCCGGGGCCAGCGTCTCACCATCCTCACAGGGCAGAATTTCTTCCTTATATCTAATCTAAATCTTCCCTCTTTCAGTTTAAAACCATCACCCCTCATCTTGTCCCCACCCCTCTGATAAAGAGTCCTTCCCCACCTTCCCTGTCCCCCCTTTAAGCCCTGGGAGGCTTCTCTTCTCCAGGCTGAACCCCCCCAACTCTCTCAGCCCGGCCCCCCAGGGGAGCTGCTCCAGCCCCCCCAGCATCTCCGTGGCCTCCTCTGGCCCCGCTCGAGCAGCTCCGGGTCCTTCTGCTGTTGGGGGCCCCCGAGCTGGCCCCAGCACTGCAGGGGGGTCTCCCCAGAGCGGAGCAGAGGGGGACAATCCCCTCCCTGGCCCTGCTGCCCCCCCTGCTCTGGCTGCAGCCCAGGGCACGGGTGGGTTCTGGGCTGCGAGCGCACGGGGCTGCCTCACGGGCAGTTTTCCCCCCACCAACCCCCCCAGTCCCTCTCCTTGGGGCTGCTCTCCAGCCGCCCCTCGAGGGCCCAGCCTGGGTTTGTGCTGGGATCGCCCCGACCCCCGGGCAGGACCTTGCCCTTGGCCGTGTTGAACCCCATGAGGTTTGCCCGGGCCCCCCTCCCCAGCCTGCCCAGGTCCCTCAGGATGCCACCCCTGCCCCCAGCGTGTCACTGTATCACACAGCTCGGTGTCATTGGGGAACTTGGTCTCCTTTTTTTTCTTGAGGAATCCTTTGCAAACACTGCATACGTTTGTAATGAATATAACCCTTTCAGATGACTCAGTGACATGCTGTAAAATGTCATATTTGGTTAAGCATTTTCTGTATATTTTTTTCTGACCTAGACTCATATTCATGTCAACTCTCCATGATGCAGTGCCATAATATTCAAATTTTTGGTAGCCAATTGCTTTTGATATTTATATCCATTTTTAAGGGAATCACAATGAATAAATGCGCCCAGCTCTAACTTTATGCAAAATAAGCTGTGTGTAAATCAGTAAATCATTAATAGAAATGAATAATTTCCAAAGGCGGACAACTGGATTGCCTTTCAAACTTTTATCTATTTATGTATTTTAGAAGTCACTGAAGGAAAAAAACCCACACTGTGTGTGACAACTTAGGTCCCCTTCACAGACCGTTTACACAGTAATATTGGTTTATGCTTGATCAAATGATGTTTTCAAGCCAAGGCATTGTGGACAGATTGTGCTTTGGGCTTGTTTTGCTTAATAAAAGTTGAATTTAAAGACTGGAAACAGCAAAAAACAGAGGAAGATGAGAAATTCCCATTTAGCACCCTCCGTAGCAACTCCAACTCCAGAAGAGGCCAGGTGGCAAAGTATCTCTTTTGTAAAACAATGGGAAGGACCTAAAAGCTAAGTAGAGTGCTGACTCTAAGTAAAGGAGACAGGAAGCATTAAGGTATGTCCGTATAAGCCCCAACTTCAAGAGTTAGCTGTGCATATTTGTGTTCCTGGTGTCCCTGTCTCCACTGAGGTGTGCTACTGAGGAGGTGTGCTGTTTGACAGACCCTGTCAATATTTCAGTATGTTGAAAGTATCTTTGCTTTTTAAAAATTATTTTTATTATATGTATTATTATTTTTGCATAGCTTTTCCAGAGCTGTATTGTCCAGAAAATCCCTGTAGGAGGGCACCCAGGTTTCCTAGCAAAAGCTAGTTCCTTCATTATGCCTTACCAGGAATATTGGCATGCAGACCATTCCCTCTTCAAGGAATAAACAACCCCATGGGCAATGTTCGATATGATTCATTCTCTGTGTGACTGTGACAGCATCAAAACCTGCCTAATGCAGCTGGATCTAAGGCTGGTGGGAGGACTGAAATAACGAGGCAAGCTCGGCACGTAGGAAACCAGAGCCTGAACCACTGTGCTCAGTAAAGGGGCTGCTGGCCACGCGGCGCATGCGGTGCTCCCGGTTCAGGTAACAGGGATGCTCAGGCTTGCTGTTGCTTGGGGATGATCTGCAAGAAGGGGCTGTGTCGTGTCAGGACATCACGGCTGGGAGCCTGTCTCAGAGGAGCTGGAGGAATCCTCCCCATCAGTTTTCCACTGGACATACAGGCATGCCAGTTCCCCCTCCATCTCCCCCCTCACAGTTTAGGTTCAGCTCCAATGTGTAATGCCAAAAGGATGTGCAACACTTGACATTCCAGTGCCATCAAGGGAAGGAGGGGAATCCACGCACTGGAGCAGGAGGGGCTTGGAGGGGGTGAATCCCTCCAGCCTCCAGTTTTATTGGAGCGGAACAGCACCAGCTTTCTCTTCTGCACTGGTACAGACTGGAAGGCTGTTCTGGAGTTACTCTGCAGAATGACATATCTACTAACACCCTGTGAAGTGAGCACGCAATATCCTCATTTACTGGACAAGTGCCATCTGACCCAGTGAATTCAAATGTGTTGTAGGGGCTTTAACCTGGCCTGGGGTTAGGACTGCTTTCTCTTCCACGGCAAAACAACGACATTGCTGCTTCTACCCCCAGGCCAACAAGACTCCCACACGAACAACAAAAATCAATTTGAGAAAAGAAGATGAGATGGATTCTGTGAGCTTTGGGTCCAGGAGATATGGCAAGTGCCAAACAACAGAGTTATAGGAGAGGCTCTGACCCTGCCACCGCATGCCTTGGGAGCCACCCATTTGGGAAAACATGGTCATGGATTCCCCGACAGTCTTTGATCAAGAGAGAAAGTCCTTTCTGGTTGCAGTCTCTCTTTGAACAGGATTAGACTCACTTCTTCAGGAGTCACCCAGTTCCAAGCACGCTGTGGGTACTCTTGGGAAGGGAAGCTGCCGTTTCCTCTGCGGCGATGGCACTGCAAGCAACATTAACACGTGGGGGTCTCCGGGGGTGGAACAGCCATGGCATGCTGCAGCTCTTCTGGTCATGGTGCAACTGTGCCTTGGAGCCAGGTCTCCTGCAGCTCAGCACGGAGCGCAGCCGGCTGCTGTTTGTGCCTGGGCCTCGTCTCAGACACCGGTTGAAACAACCGGATCGAATGTTGGCTCAGTGGGTTTGCACCATCTCTGCAACAAGGAAAGACACCGGCATTATTTGTCAGCTGAGAGGCGTCCAAGAGCCAAGTCTTTTCAGAGTAAACTCTGTAAGTGCGAAACTCCCCTGGGGAGAGGCAGCATTTCCCAAGATCTTTAGCATTTTGTCTAAGTGTCCTTCATCTAGGACTAAAGCACAGATAATAAATTTTTACAACTTTTTGGATGGCTGTATCTTTTGGCGAAATATTTTTTGCTTTGCTCACCTAAACTTGCAGAATTCTTAATTTAGTGAGTGACTCTTAACAAGCTAGTGGCTGGGACAACAGTGATTTTAACCATAAACCTAGAGAGGAAGAGAGAGAAATAGAGAGTGAATTGTGGAGAACAGTTAATACAGATGTGCAAGGCATGCTCACTGTGATTAGCTTTAGTCGTATATAGTCCTGTAATTATTTGAAAATTGTCCAGAAATACGTTCTCACAAGGCTGAAATGAATGCAAAAAATGCTGTTGTGATCTTTTATAGAATCAATGAAATTTAGATTAGGCAGTCACTAAATTCCTATTTACACAACAGACCTTAATGGCTCCAAAGGAAGCACTCAAATGTATTCGACAAATAATCCCTATTTATGAAAGCCCCATAATATGCATTTACATAATCCCCACTTTAAAAAGCTATATCAGCTCTAAAGTTCTTCAGCTCTGAGATATGCCCCAGGGGATTAAACGTACCAAACAAAACAAAGGGAAGTAAAATGTACACATGCATACATCCACAGACACGTACCACAATCTTTAACACACAGAAGGAAGTAGGGATGACATACCAGGTTTCCTCACCAAACCCCTCTACCTCCAACAGTGTTTCTGCATGTGCACAGACGTGAACACACGCACATGCACAACTCTGCCAGTGGCTCAGCAATGCTTCTGGGCACGTGCATGACACCACAGTGTCCCTACGCATCAAGTCCCTCTCAGGTTTCCTAGCCTTTTTAAACAAAATACAGTACTGGTTAATCACGTATGCCCACTAACATAACGAAACAAATAGTCTGTTCTAATGTTTCGGGATGTATGTAGCAGCCTTAGAAAGCAGCTGACTTGGCACAAAGCCAGCGGGTCACGCGTTTTATCCATACTCAAGAGGACTGGACACTTGCTAATATTCCCATGTGATGGATGCGGCATTCTGCCATCAGAGGTGCTGTCCTTGAGATAAGAAGTGTGACAGGGTGTAGCTCTGCACCAAGCATGTTAATGTTGCTGAACGGTTTGAATTAAAAAAAAAAAAAAAGCAGTTCTTTACCGTGGAAAAAAAGCTGTCCCTGAAAAGCCGATTCTCCCTAAGAAATGCAAAGTTTCGATACCGATTTAACTTTACCCTGTTTAGCAATTGTCCATTGTTTAGGAACAAAATGCTATGACTCCTGTCTGGTGAAGCACCAGTTTTGCAATTCTGAAGGGTGGGTAAAATATATGTTGGATTCAGCCAAACTAAGAAAGGGAAAATACTGCAGAATAAATTTCCAGCTTCAGAGAGATGCCTTCACTGCCTGTATGTTCTTAACTGTGTGTGCGTTTCATTTCAAACTCTTTCATTAGCATTTGTAATATAAGTGAGAACATGGAAGCACAGAAATACTGGTATTTACCTTCAGCGAATGCCAGCATTCAAGTGATGTGGCGTTTTGTCTGCAAAAACCTCATCCTCTCCCGAAGCTCCCCGGTAGTCAGCCAGCTCCGAAGGTGCTGCAGGCACCGAGTGCCAAGCAACAACAGGAGCAATAGCCGGTGCGCAGCTGCACACTCAAGCCACCTTCCTACCCGGCCCAGTCCTTCTCCAGAAGCCAGGTGGGATTTTCCTGCTTTGCTGGGCTCGGGCAGGGTCCAGCGCCCCCTCAGCTTCGCTCTCAGCAGGGGCCGAGGCAGCCGTCAGCGGTGCTGCCAGGCGTCCCTGCCCGCCTCTCCCCGAAGAGGTCTGCTCTCCTCAGCCCGAGGGAACTCCTTCCTGCCAAACGGCCCGTGAAGCTCGTCCCCTTACAGCCAGACTTGTTTCCCGAGTGAGGTGAGGGGTAACAGAAGGGCTTGGCCCTGGACTGCATCAGGTGCCTGAGGCACTAAGCATTTCTTCCCAAATAACGCAAAAGATTGGTAATTTTGCTCTGTGTGTTCCGAGCTCTGTTCCACCTTAACAATGGAGCTTTTGAGTTAAGGGTTCCATTTAATGAGGCTCTTTGCAGTTTACATAAAACAACCACATGAATAAATACTCAGTTTAGAAAAGATAAGACCTGGGGATGAGTTTGGCGGGAGTTCAGCAAGAAAGATTATGCATACAGCAGATAAAGGTGTCTACGGTTGTGCCGTCAATTGATCTTGTCAATCTAATATCAACTCGAACACGGAGGAGAAGCAGCTGTTATTTTACCAGAGTGAGTGAATAACGGGATCTCAGGAATCACCACACCTAGAGCTGGTCAAACTCAGAAGCTCTCATGCGCTTGTCCCTCAAAGTCAGCCTGTGGTGATGACAGCCAGTGTAGCAATCTGCAAAGCCTGATTGCTGAGAAAGGGGAATTGCACAAAGAATGGTTCATTTTTTCATTTTCTAAACATATTTGGTGTAGGACACACGTGCGTTCCTTTATTCTTCCCACTCCACATTGATTACTCCAACGATGCACAGTTCCAGAGCTGGTCTCTGGACAGGCCATCCTTCCCAGGTTGGCTACCCAAAACGGGATGTTTTGAAAAATGTACAAAGATGTAGAAGAATGGAGAGGCAGAAATTTTCTTTGTGGCAAGGTTGAGGTGCAAGGGTTGGGAGATGAAGGGATGAATGCCTGTAATTTTGTTGTTACTACAAATTATGCCTTGTTTAAACTCTTCACCCCGGGTTTTGATCTGCTATACTGGTGCTAATCCATATATTTATGCCTTTCTAGTCTGGATTCAAAGTAGTATAATTGAGCTCATTGTCAAGACCAAGAGTCTTCCCTATCTTCTGCCTGAACTGACGCTCCAGCATAATTTTTGCACTTTTTGTGACTCCTCATCAGCCCTGTTGTGATAACTGAGGCAGAGGACAAGAGTTCAGAAGGAAGGAAAACATCCGTTTTTAATGAAATTCACTTCTCAGGTGATCACATGTTTCTGGAGAACAGCAATCCGGCACCAGCCTTCAGACTACCCATTTCTGCTTCTCACTACCTGTACCCTGGCACACTGAGCCCCCTGCTCGCTGTGCTCCTCCCACATCAGGAACAGGGGCCGGGCAGGACAGGCTGAAACTCAGCAGCAAAGGGAGGTGATGCTGCTGGTGGCTCCTCGCTGGTCTCATTCTCTCCAGAGAGAGGGAAGCGATGAGCAGTTGGGGTAGAGGATCACGCCTGGAACAGCATGTCACTAAGCATGGGCTGTTTTGTAAGGATGATGCCACCAACAAATTTAATTTCTCCACTCCTGTTTTTGAGCCAAGCTCAATGATGAAAACATCAAACTTGATCAGTTCCAAGACTCATCTTTGATGAACTCACCCAGTAACTTCTCCTTGTGTGTTGCTTCCCAGCAGTCTATCCGTTTCTGTCCTCCCTTTGGCCATTTCCTTGCTCATTTAAATTAACTTCTACTGTCTTCAGTCCCGTAGAGAGCCCTTATGAGATTACTGAGGAGTGAGTGTGTGTGGGGGTATGGTTGTCTGCACCATAGAAACAACACAATACAGCTAGATGTGTAAGGTCCTATCTGGCAGACGATGGTTTATTGTGCAAACAAATAGTGTTGAACTGAGTGGGAAGAGCAGGTGCTGTAAGGGACAAACCTTCCGAGCCACAATGCTGGACCAATCTGCAGTTACTGTTGGGATAGGAGGAGCTGAGGATGAGAAGCCTGCTCAGTGCTTTGGCAGGATGTTCAATCTGTGAGTCATAGCTCTACTGGAGCCATACCAGCCCCTTGGCCAGACAAGCTTTGCCTTCATTAACTCTTTCCTTCAGGAGAAGCAGAAGCCAATTAATTACAACTTAGACTTTATTCCATTAAACTCCTCTAAGCTCCAGGGGAAGAGCCTTAAGACTCTACTCTGATCCTGTTGCCACTGACGCCAGTAAAAAGCTCTCCACAGACTCGGATGGGAGGAGGCATTAATTCCACGTCTGCTTTCAGCCTGGAGCGTGGTGGCCACACTCGGTGCCACTGCCGGGAGGGCTGTCCCTCTGAACACAGTCCCTCTTCCCCACCAGCACCTGCCTTAGGGAGGAGCGTTGTCTGCAGAGAAGGATTTCTGCTGGTCCCAGTGACAATGGGCCGAGTGGCCATCCTCCCAGTGGCCATCCATTGTAGTTACCATCAAAACCTTGCTTCTGTATCTTATCTTAAACATTCATTCTGCTACTCTCTATAAGGAAAAGCCCTGAGCCTTTCATCTTTCAAGCTGAACTGACTTTAACCAATTTGATTTTCAAAGTGATCGTCACATCTGAAACAGAAGAGTTCAGATCACTCCCAACACCTATTTACAGGTTTGCTTGTAGAAGAGAAATCTTCACAAGCCGGGACTAAGTCACAGCTCCACAAGGCTGGTTTTAAGTGGACAAATCTTAGAAAAGAACTGTTCCTCAATCTCCTTTTCATAAACTATTTGTGTTTCAGTGAAGTCCAAGGACTGAATTCAGGTTGTCTGTGTCACACTGGGGACCACACAGTTGACAAGGCAGGAGTGGATCAGGCTTTGTTAAAAGAACAAGTTAAATACCATCATCTGGTGCAGCTCTACAGACATGTCTTTGCGTGGGGTCTGATGCCATAATGCCACAACACATAAGCAGCTGTTTTTCTATTCACAGGCAGATTGCTTAGGTATTTGTGTGGAATAGGTACAAGGTGATAAAAGAAGTGTATTATTTATACAGCATACAAAAATGCAACAAGTCTTCTGGATATAGGACAGCATAGTTCAAAGTCAAATTTCCCTTTGTTCCTTGTGCGTTGCAAGTAGCTCATGGTGAGGGCCCAGCACTTCTCAGACTGGTTATGGGACTGTCTCATCTGAGCTCTAATCTGTGCCACAGCTTGTATTGCTTGTATTTTGTTTAGCTGCACTGTGGGCCAACAAACTCCCACTGCAGCTAAACAGGCCCTCAGGATCCGGTCTTTCTCTCGAGCCATGGTGCAGTGCTGTGTCACCTCTCCTCTTTTCCTACTGTTCTGAACACTTTTCTTCCCAGTCCCACTTATTTGGGTCAACATTTCCTAGAACGTCATCAACACAATTCTTAGCAGCAGTGCAGGAACTTGCTTTATTCTTGTTGTAGTCCGCAGAGGTGGTAATGCTCTGGT